TTCCGGAAACATAAAAATTGGAAGGATAAAAAACAAACATTGCTTAGAAAAATATATAATCTTTACCATTGTATTTTTTTGTTTGAAAGAAAAAAAAAACAATGCTAAAATAATTCAAAATTAGTACATGATATGAGTCTTGACTTTCACTCAGTCTATTATCAAATGTTTCGAAAATTGAATACGTTTAAACATAGTAGTGAAGTGGTCGTGGAATAAATATCAAAGTAAAAAATGATTAAGCTACGAGCTGTCGATTTAAGGAACAACATTATATAACAATTGGAGATGGAACGAAAGTGCTAATTTTATATAGATTTTTTGTTGAGATTTAGCGAAGAATGTTTAAGACGACACGTGACACGTGTACGAAAAGATCCTTCCTATGTTTTGCTTCAATCTTACTACAAGTTTTAGTATCTATCATCAATCATTACAACTAAACCTCATAACATAATCATAATACTTTTTTTTTTGTAAAGGTGACAATGAAATCAGGGATTCACATATACTATGATATACTGTGTAGAAAACAATATCACATTAGCAAACTGAGTGATGATAGGTCAGACATTTATGATGTTAGATGGCATAACATAAGTAAAGAGCGAACTACCAACAAAAAGAAAGTGAGATGGCAGACTTATGGATAGCCTCCGATGAGCGACGAGAAAAATGTTTCCAAGGATCTCTTCGCTCGTCTTATTTAGACATTATCACATTAGTTAGCTTGTTAAGTGTAAAACAATCCATCTTTTCTTATATATTTTGAATGGTTGTTCTGTCCACTATAAATCAGACCAATTATACCAATCATAGTGACATTGTGGTACACTAATCTGCAATTCTGCATACTAGAATACATTTTATATTTAGAGTGGATTGAAAAAACAGAAATTTTGTTTTTGATATTTTGGTATATAATTAATGTTAATTGTGTACTATTGTATAATTGTTTTCGTCTGAAATTTTCGAAGTAAATTAGATAAGACTGCGAAAGTGCGAATGGTAAAAACAAGATTTATCCGACTCTGATCTTATCCAAACTGGATTATGGATTGTACAAACATTCAAAGTCTTAATGTATATCCAGGAGATATCTCTTATAATATTTTAAGGGTTTTTGTTTACCAAATCTCTGAGGGACTGGCACGTGGCTTCTATATATGTGACATGTGTCTTTTTTATTTATTTGTGATTAATGATTATGTAAACTCGAAACGTTATTTGCATTCGTTGTTCGATCTCCTTCTTCTCTGGTTAAATCATGTGTTGCTCCATCGATTCATTTCTCATGAGAGGTGCTATTGCTTGCGCGGCTTCCGTTTACGCTTCGTCCTCCATCAAATCCACCTCTGATTTTTCGTTAAATCCACCATCTACAATTTTTGTTTCTCGACCTCTGAGGTCGGCAACGAATTATTTTTTTTTTAATTTCTTTTAAAAATTTTAGCAATTAGTTCTATCAATTGAATAACTAATTTTTATATAAACTAATTCCAAAAAATTACAATTAAGTGTCTTGTCTACTATGTATTAAAAATATATAATTTATTTATCCAATTCAACAATATACAATACAAAAACGTTTAAACTTTGATTTTTATGTAGGTAACTCTGATTT